CCCCAAAACCCCAAAACCCCAAAACCCCAATTAAGAGTATTCAAATGATTTGAAGTTTTAAATAATTATATATTAAAATAGCATATTTACAAAAATGTAAAGACCAAAGCAAACTATATCTCCCTAGAGAACCAATATGACGTTCCAGGGCAGCAATTCGAGTACAGTTTCTTTGACTAAGAATAGAAGTAGCTAGGGTCTCCAATCATACTACCAATCTCCATCATTCAATTAGAATAACAGAATAAGCACCATATCGTCATCTTCGTAGTCTCCTTTATCAAAAGCATAGCAGTAATAGCAAGCAAATAATCAATAAGAAAATAACAATCGTCAAAGACTACCAAAGACAAGGCCGTAAGAAGCATTCTATAAGAGAATAAATGATGTTGAAAAAAAGGCTAAGACTCTAGATTAGGAGAGAGAAGAACAGCTAGACTAGTTTGATCTGAATGATTTCTTTAAGGACCCCAAAATGGAACCATAATCAGCCAAGGAGCCAGTATTTCAGAGACAAGTAAGTTCCTTTAATGATAATCTTAGCAGTAATTCAATGGACAACTCAAGGTACGGCAATTAAAGCAATCATCTCAACAGACTACCATAGCTACCTAGAGAAGCACTTGATATTAATGAAAATGAAATAAAGTACTTGACTAACTTTATTACTGGAGACAAGGGTTAAGGAGGTTAAGGAGAAAGCTTTGAGCAAAATGGCTTCTTTAATTACAATCTAAGTGATAACAAAAAGTCAAATAAGATTGATGAGTAGCCTGTCTATATAGCTCCTGAATCAGCACTCAATGATGAAATATTGAATTTCTATGGTATTAGCAGAAACAACAAAGATCCTATGGATGGAGTAAATAAATCCTATAGAGGTCTAATTAGCAAAAACAATTAATTCAAAGCAATTATAGATGATTAGTTTGAAAGACTTGATTCAAGAGGAAAGAGAATCAAGATTAGAAGAGTTCATGTTCATTAAGAGGTGATGGGTGAGATCGGATACCCTTTTTCCACTATGAATTTTCATCCATTAACCTACATTACCCAGCATGAGTTGAAGGCTAGAGCAAACTCATTGGCATATGCTAAGTATAAACTTGTCAAGAGAGAAAATGCAAAGAAAGCAGCAAAGAGGAAACTGCTATTGATTATGTGCATTGTGAAGTGCAAATCATTTGTTAATAAGCTTAAGGCAAGAGTTTAGATAAGGAGAGCTGAGAAAAAGAAAATAGAGGAGGAGCAAAGGAGGAAAGAGAATAGAAGAAAAAACATTAAGGAATAGCAGAGATTAATGGAACGATCTAGTATTGCTGACGAAACTCAGAGTTCAAGGAATACTGAATAAGTTTCAGGTTTGATGTTATCTGAGTCTAATGGTAGTTTGCTTAGATTTGGCTCGGCTCTGAATACTTCTTCTAACTTTGGAATTCTGAAGAATGAGCAGAAAAGAACAGAGTCTGTCAACTTTTAAAGAGCTGAAACAGTCAATGTCAACGAAGCTGTTTCAAGCTAAATAAGCACTGGCATATTATCTCCAAGCTTTACTAGACAAAACATTAGACCTCCAAGCACTAGCACTAGTAATACAATCGAAAGAGATGAATATCTAAAGAGCAAGATTACTGTTGAGAAATTTGATTGAGCTTACTAGGAAATGGAACAGAGTCTTCTTTGAATTTATATTAATAGATAGCTAATTAAATTTTAATTTAAACTAATCTTAATTTCATAAATTATAATCTTATTAGAGAATAACAAATTTAATGGCTTAATTGCTGCTAGTTTTACTCTTAGCTTAAATTTTATAGGCTTAAAATCTCAACTATACATTCGGGGGAGCTAATTGGAATGGAACTTGCGCATCTGTAAATTAACTAAACTATATACTAATAATTTTAGGGTTCAAAATAAAGTCCTATAAATCTGCCTAGTAAAAATGCTGCTGTACAAGATAAGCATTTGTCCTTTGAAATAAGTTATAATCAAATAAGTAATGGAACTTTGGAATATACCCTATCTCAACTTCAGATGGGATTGGATACTTCATTAATTCAAGGTTCAATGGTATTTCATAACCTCGAGGGAAAATCTCAAATGTTCAAGCTTAAGAATATGAGCTTCCATGCTCCCTCTGAACATACTTTAAATGGAGTTCGTTACGATGCTGAACTTTAAATTGTTCATCAGGAGTATTAGGGCATTTAACTAGCAGTAATATCAATCTTGTTTGATGCATCAAAAGATATAAGCTCTTGCCTATTTGAAAAGCTCAACCTAGGAAATCTGACTAGATTAAATCAAACTAATTTAACTTACCCTGCTAGTTTAGCTAACCCAACAGTTCAAAGAAGAACAAATCTAAAAGTTCCTTTAAAAGATTATGTTGAGAGAATGGGAGATAGTTTCTACTATTATCAAGGATCATTGACCATTCCTCCTTGCCAAGAAAATGTCCACTGGATAGTAATGTCTGAAGTATAATATATAACACTTGATTAAAGATCTCAACTTAGCAGATTATGGCAGTAAAATCCTACATTTGCCAGTGGAAGAGGCAACAATAGAGTGACTCAGAATTTAAATAATAGAAATGTTTACTATCGTCATGTTTCATTAGAAGAACACTTTGAATCTTTAACAAATCATTTCATGCTACCAGAATTTGGAATGTGCAATAGCATATCCATGATTATTATTGCAACATCCCTAATACTCTATCATATATTCCTATGATATTAATTTTTAATAAATAAAATTTTTTAATGTCGGTAATTTTATCGAGCCCTCAATAAATAAACTAGCATACTCTTAACACTTCATCATCCAAAGCCTTGTATAGCTTTTCGAAGGCTGAAAGAAGAAGTATGGTAATGAGACCTGTGTAAAGACTTCTTCTCAATTTTAATGCTTTTCATTAGATCTCAGGTAGTTGGATATGATGTGCCTAATTTCAAAAGTACAAGATGCACTAGCTTCGGTTTCGGATAAAAGAAAATACAAACGCATAGTTAGTTTTTTTCTTCAGTAATATTTTATCAGAGGATAGTCCACCACCAACCAGCTATAATATTCCAAGTTGCTTCGATTAGAGGAAGCAAAAGAGTCAAGCATTTACATTTGGTTTATCAAGAGATTCGTTTTAAAGAGTAAAAATATCTCCTTAGTTTAATTTATCAATAACGCTGGATAGGTCTATTTGGAGAATCAGCTTCCCTAAGAAAGAAATGTCCCAGGACCAGGGTAATATGAGCCAATAAAAAAACTAGGAGAAAATGCTCTAAAGCTGACGATAGGTACAAAAACTGTTGATCCAAGTATGTTATTCTAAATGGGTTTGAGATTAACAATTATTAATAGAAACTTTGACTTCACAAAAATTTGTTCCAGGGCCTGGAACCTATGAGCCTAAGAATAGCATTAACCAAACAGGGTAATTTGTGCTCAGCAATATGAAATCCACTCTGACCCCATCCTTCAGTCTTCCTAGTTTAAAGCAATTGCCTGGTAGAAGACTTGATTATGTTGAGATGATGAAGTATGTGCCAGGACCAGGGCAGTATACTCCTAAATTAGACCTAGGTGATAAACCTGTCGTTTCAGCTTTCAGATAATCAATTCAACCAACTCTATACAATCATGACAGGTTCCCAAGAAACGATAGAAATAAAAGTAAATATAATTTTATCTTTAAATTAATTTAGACATGCCAGGACCAGGCTACTACCAGACAATATCTGATTTCGGCATTTATGGTAGCCCAAAGAATTAAAAAACTTTGAGAACAACATCGAGTTTATTTTCTACAAAAAATAGCGATAATGCTAATGTCAAAAAGTCTTAATCGTTTGTCCCTAAAGAGTCTTGATTAATATAACTTTTTAATATATATTTAATTAATCTTCAAAAATTTTGTATTGTTATGATTTACTAGACATTTTATACGCCTAATTAAAATTTTAAGCTTTTCGTAAGATCACTCGAAGCCCTTCTCATTGTATTATTTAGGGTGCAAGTAGAGTGAGAGAACGTCCAGAGAAGGACTATAAGTCATTTTTGAAAAATTAAAGACTAAAGATGTCGGAAAACCAGACAGTTTTAGATCATCACGATAGGGAAATGAAGGAGTTTATTGAGCTAGATTAAATAATCAGGACAAGTGTTATTGAATCAGCTGAAAAAGAAAAAGAGGAGATGAAGCATCACAAAAAGCATAAAAAGTTTAAATATATTGGCTTAAGCAAATAAGAACTTAGACAACTAGGTACTTAGTAGATAATTGACAATCTTAATGAGGAAAAAAATAGACTATTTAAGAAATACAACATTGATACGAGTGACGAAGAAACATCAGTTAAATAGCCTCGTTCTTAATTAAACAATCAGAAGAAGAAACATTCTAGTTCACTTATAGACTTAGGAGTATTCTTTTAGTAAAATTCTTCCAAAGTAAATGAACCGTTCGAGAATTTCCTACAACATTAATATACATTAAAAGCATTCTCTGGAAAAGGTATGTTTTCAGATAATAATAAGCTATATCCTCCAAGAACTTCAAAGAACTAGTAGTTCAAGGAAAAGGAATATTCGGTGTTTAGTTTACCTAGGGTTTCAATTGCTAAATAAACCACCAAGGAAAGTTTTACTACTCCTAAGTCACCCTTTCTATAATAATTAAAAAATTCTGAATTAATTCCGTCAATATCAATCTTAGATAGCTTGACACCCACAAATATCAATTCAAGGAATATGCATAGAGAGACATCGTAGTTAAATGCTTAAGAAACTGAGGTGATTTATAGTTTGGCACATCTCAAGCCCTTCGATGCCAGGGTGTAATTCTTAAGGCCATTAAGTTTGAAGCCAATTGAGAGATAAGGGTCTGCCTCAGGGGAACCAAGATCAGCTACCCTTAAAAAATATGATCTCTATAAATAGTATAACGAGGGAAACTTAGAAAGCTAAAGTTCGAAAAGATAAAATAGTAATCAGATAGATAAAAGGAATTCTTTAAATAAAAATGCTCTTGCTGCTGTATAGTTAATTCATGATGCAGTTGATGACATGAAAAAGATTGAATAAATTAAGAATTAAAGCCCCACTATGAAAGAACCAAGTAATAAGGATTTGGAATAAGAAATTAACAATCATTTCAAAGATATGAATAAGGACAAGATTCAGATGTCTTCCAAACTCTAGAAAAAATTCAACAAGAGGACGATTCAGACTTTTATCTCCAAGAAGTTTGATATAGAGAAGGAAATAAAGAGGAAGTGAAATTTTCAAAGAAGTAGCAATCACAAACTTATATCAATAGTCTCATAACATGGTATTTTTCTCAAAATTTTTTAATATCCATTGCTACTAACAAATAGATTTCCATGGGGTTTTGGGGTTTTGGGGTTTTGGGG